AATTTGCTGATGCAATAGTCCTTTCCGGTAACACTATTAAACTCCTCCTTCTTAACTATATAGATATATTCCAGTGTTTGTAACTTTACACTAATCTGTCCTGACAATGACTAAAATATAGTCGAAACGTAGATTTATTTTCGAAGTTGCTGTTCTTTTGTGTTTTATTTATACGCACGTACACACACGTAATAAAAAGTCTAAATCCTCATATTTGTCATATTTGAAAAAGGTGCATATTTTAGTATGCATTTGTTAACCTATGGCTAAAAAACGCACAGGTCGAAATTTTCAGAAAATACAAAAAACCCGAAATCGAAATTTTCATTGCATATACACTTTAACAATTGTTGACAGTGACGTAATCTTTTCTGTTGAATTTACTCAATAGTATACACCAAGAGAAGAAAATCGCTGTCAAAAATTTCCCGTGTAGCTGAGGCTTAAAAAACACCATGTGATTTATTTCCATCATCGAAACGCTCGAAATTCAAATCCTATATATAAGTCATTTTCACCGATGAGAAATAGGCATTCGGGATGTAATATTGCTTTATTGCTGCCGCAGCGTGGAGCGAGTTTAAAGCGAGCGAGAAAGGCCACATGCAGATCCTGATTTACAATTGCCGGGGGCGGCGCAAATCAAAATTTGTCTTTTGAATGACGGTACCAGTGGCTGGACGCTTGAACATAACCGTCGACTCTACGGTTTCATATTTACTTTCACATTCATGCAGATTCAGACGTGAATATGAAAATAGCCGGGTATTTGACGTGCCGGCAAAATGTGGAATAACTCCGTTTCTTTCCATGCAATAGGTTTTTCTCTGCATGCGAGTCATTCCTGATCAATGCATTAGGCATTATTTGATGATATTTTGAGTTAATTTGACCCAAGCAGAAAGTCCAGAAAATTCGCAGAAGCTACATGGCTACAATGTAAAAGAAAATGTAAGGAAAATCAATTTACTTTGACGGGCGAGCAGCAATTTGACGACTTCGTTGTTACATGTTTGTATAAACTCTTCATGCATTTTGGGAGTCATAGCTACCATTCCACAAAATTTCTTTTCGCGCATTGTATTAGGGTCTTAGTGGGTTTTAAACTTATATAAACGAAACATAATACTTTTCCTGCCTCGTACTCAGGCGCTTTAGTATTTAGGCTTTTTAGTTTTTATAAGGGCTTTATAGGATCGCAATGTATTAGGCTTAAATGAAGTTCCCCGGCAAACCGTGAAGAAAGCAGGCGATATATGAAGGTGTGAATGGGGAAACGATTTCTATATTGCCTCTAGCCACGCAGCTATTTCGAGTTACAACAGAATAAATTGTTTATTGTTATATGTAGTAGCTGGACTACAAGGTTTCGACGAATATCGGAAATTATTCATTGCATTTTCCATTATGATGCGATTACCCAAATTTTGCCCAACTTTGTGCGTTCATTTATTATAACGAGAGGCGAAGACGAAGATGTCTTAAAAACAGTCCGAGATCTTAATAGCACCATTAAATATGTTGATCTCCTGCGCTATTGGCTATTGTCTATTAACAAAGAGATAAATTTTGAACCTCGTCCACTACAATACAAAGTGAATTTACTCCAATGAGGGTTTATTCAGCCAACAAACTACTGCAAAAGTAAATAGCAACCGAAATAGCAAACACTGAGATCAGGGATTAAATAAAATATTTAAACACTTAACAATAGGAACCAGGTTAGGCTAAATTGCCTTCGTGCAGGACACTTCGTAGAGAAATCCCTAAACAGGTTTCGGAGAGAACTCCCGTGGGAACAAGATTGGCAACCCAAACACCTTTCTACCCTTAGGCTTAGGTAACCTAGTTTCACATTAAAGAGATTTTATACAGGGGCCGGTTGTTCGAAAGGCGTTTAGCTTAAACGGTAGATAAAAGCTAAAGTTTTAAAATACTCTCATACATCTTGTGAATGACTATAAACCTGTATTTTATGCACTAAATAATACTTTCATACATCTTATGAATGACTATAAACCTAGCTGTATTTTATGCATTTAATATGTTCTTTCATTGAAATTAAACTATTTACATCGAAATACTGATTTCAGCTCAGTTGATCAATAAATGGATCATTTTTCACCGTTTAAGCTAAGGCAACGGTCATAAAGTATCTACAACCCCGGGACGGAGGGTAACCTTAATTTTAGAAAATATTGACTCCCTTATCAAGTTAAGGCAAAAATTTCAAACCCCATTAAAATATCACCAAAAAGTTTCGTATCCCATCTTGTTATATACGATCTACTATGCATGAACTTTTGAAAGACCAAAATATGCATCGGTTTTTATGCATTAAATTAGCATACCAGTTTACCATAAGTTTTTTTTTCTCCAAAAAGTCAGTGTTCTCTAGCTGAGGAACACGTGCATAAACAACAATGGCTTCTGCGTTTGCTAAATCTCAGGTCGGCAAAAATTACTCATATAATCGTTTTCTAAATTTCAGCCCGGCAAAGCGGGCAAAACAAATATTCAAACAAATAAATATTCGGACAAACAAATATTCTGCTATAAAATCTCTAGGATATGAGGTAGCCATGCACATATACATGATGGCTTGAATGTGTTCAACTCCGTGTCCAATGTCGTTTTGACGGTTTAAGCTGGTTTCCATTTGTCGTGAACAAGTCAGTTTCACCGATGAGATCATGAGAAATAGTCACTAGTAAGTTTGTCTTTTAACTCTTTATTTCTGTATATAAAGCGGTCATTGTTGACTGCACACACATAGAAATATTTTATAGCATCAGCCACCTTGGCAGCCATTAATACCGTGTTGCATGGCGGATGCCTGTACTGTAAAGTTACGGCATCATAGAATTTCAAAGTTCAAACTGCTACGGTTGTCGTTACGGTTTTTCGTTGATGAAACATAATACTTAGTAGAAGCCTTCTTACCGTTTAGTAAGTCTCATTTCACGGAATTGTACTGACTCTAGCCATCTAGCGCTGCGAATCAGTAATCAGTAAGTGCATGGCATCAATTGGACAGGGGATTTCCCCTGAATTTCGGCATGTACTGGAGTAGTCTGTTGTTTTTACGTTAGCAGCTAGCGATCCAAAATCTTTAATAGGTTTTTCGTTCAATCCAGCAATTCATTTAAACAATTTCTTTGTATAAACGTAAAAAACGTGAGACGTGTTCCTACTGAAGATCAACACATAAATTTACACGTGGCAAGCATGCGGTCCACAGTTGGACTATTAAACCACGGGTATTATGTCATTCATTATATTTACACTCTGACAGCGATGTATTGTTCGTAACCAGTGACAAAGAAAACTTCTGAATTATGTTAAATACTGATCAAAGCACTTTATTCTCCAGTGATCACCGATCATACTGTCCTCTGTCGGTACTGAGCCCCGTTTACACTGCACTCAATAGAAAGTTTGGCGATATAGAACGGCAACGACAACTGCAACGGCTTTTGCTTCACTCCTCGTTTAAGTGGATTTCCATCTGGAAACCTTGATTCGTAAGTGAAACGCGTTTTCGTTCGAAAACGGAAACATTTCGATGCGTTTTGGCCTTCCATTCACACTAATACAACAGGTGTCTTTTACTGTAGCTTACAAACTTATAATAAACGCTTGTTTAGAAATAAACATTGCGCTATTCAACCTTCTGTTGATTTCCCTATGAACGATCTCGGTTCTAAAGTCACTAATGCTGTCGAAGCCTTGTATTTAAATCCGTACTAAAGTTGTCAACTCTCAGCAGCAACTCAACTTCGCTATCGGTCCAAATAAAAGCTTCTTGCTTGTTAGCAATTAAGAAGTCTTAGAAGACGAAGCCATATGGAGATTATAGGATTATAGGATTATAGGATTATAGACACTGATAAGGAGATTATAGGAAAATCCGCACGCGGAAAATGCCGCAAATATTAAATACTTCAGGCGCGCGTTTTTGAGCGTTTATAGGCCCACACTGTCACACACACTGGGCGTGATTCGCTAACGCGACGCGAATTTTTCATTTTCAGAAGCAAATTAATTCAATTCACAAAGAAAATTTTGAGAGATATAGGTACAAGACTAGTCAAAATGCACTATCATTCAGTAATTAGTATGAATATCACAGCATTGTTAGAATTAGCAAATTTTGAAAACTGAAAAATTCAGGACAAATCGCGTCCGGTGTGTGTCGGTCTTTAGTGTGGACGATCGAAAACGCTCGGAAAACGGTAGTGTGGACGCAAAGCGATCGATGCGTTTTCAATCACATGAAAACGGAGATATTTGATAACGCATAAAGCTGGTTTTCCACTAGCGATAATTTTCGCGCGAAGCGACTTTATTCTTTTGTATTTGAGCAATTTGTTCCAGATGGTTGCAGTTGAGAGATCTGGAACAAAAGTAAATTGTCGATTCGCGCGAAAAATATCGCTAGTGGAAAGCCGGCTTTAGTGTGGACGAGGTTCTAATTGCATCACCCGGTTTTTCACAGGGCGAATTTATTTGCGCGAATAAAAAGTAGGAAGCGATTCTACTTTTTCGCGGCGAATTTTTTCGCTAGCCAATCACATCACCGAATTTCAGATATCGTTTCGCGTCGTGCGAATAAATTCGCCTGGTGGTAAACGGGCTCAAGCTGTTAACATTTTACACGCCATTGCGTTGCATTTTTTGGTCAAAAAGCGACTGACGTATTTTAGATAATTTTAAATCTAAATAATTCCAAGAAGGCTCAGCTGAACCCCTTGAACTGCACCCACACTCTCCCCCGGATATTCTCTGCTCGATACAGGCGCAAATATATCACACCAGCTCAAGGGCGTGCTTGCTAAACATTGAAATCCTTTGAGCTGAATATACCATCGTCAGCGGTTTATTCATCTCAATGCTGAAACCACTGAAAAGACAAAACACTCAGTAGGCAGCATCATAGGCAGCATTCACTACCCAATGAGTTAATCTGTATAGTGGCGTGACCCGAGTACGAACGGAAGCTTGACCTCTTTGGCTGTCAAGGCCTTTGCAGTTTGCAATATAGCCTATAGGTGTCTAGTTATAGCAAGACGTACTGTACCTTACTGCTAGCTGTGTTGGTCTCTAGACTCTGCGATTTTCGTACTATGTATGGCTTGTTGTTTATTTTGCTGTTCCAAATTACATACCTCGACGCACGGACTGACCCTGAAGTCAATTTTAATGTGGTAGGTATGGCGGTTTCCGTATAAATAATAAATTATACCTGATCGGCGACCCGAAGAAATTTTTATTGTATGTAGAAGATGTAAATGTTACAATAGTTGTAACATAAATGCAAAACGTTTTTGTGAGATTAATTATTTCGGTATTAATCTACTCGATGCAAATTTGTATCGGAATATGTACGTATTCTTAGTACTTCGATCATACGATACATTTATGAATAAATTCAATATGTACTTTGCCCTGATGGTGTCAGGCGATTTTTGCGCTAGGACATATGGGTAATCAACGACAGTGCAAAGAACTGTTCACTAATCACTAATCACTAATAATACTAAAGCTCAGTTCACACTACACCGAATTTATAAGTACAGCAAAGCTAAAATTGGAACCCATATTTTATAAGAGAGGTCTGAGTGTAACTACAGTGTATTAGAGAGTGTTTGTTTTTGACAGTTCCCTTATTGGAAAATTAACACTCCTTTTCTCCGTTCTAATTCATTTTATGAGATTTTTATTGATGCTTGGTAGATTATTATTACATATAAACTATTACCCATAAAACTGTTAATTCACATTCTAGAAAGTCTTAAATTTAATTATAAGAACTATGCATAGGTAATTAGATGTACCAATCATGTTATCACATTAGTACCAATCAAGCTTTGTGTCCACTGCAGTTTTTTACTAATTTGTATAATATTTTGCAGCCTCAAATGATTGAATATTGGGGCTACCCTGCAGAAGAACACAAGGTGCAAACTCTTGATGGCTACATATTAAAGATTCATCGCATTCCACATGGAAAGAATGAAAAATATTCAAGTAGCAACAAACCAGTTGTCTTCCTACAGCATGGCCTGTTGTGTTCATCCAGTAACTGGGTATCAAATCTCCCCAGTGAATCACTAGGTTACCTCTTGGCTGATGCAGGTTTTGATGTGTGGTTGGGTAATGTACGTGGAAATACTTATGGTTTAGAACATGTTACTCTAAAACCTGATCAAACAGAATTCTGGGACTTCAGGTATGTGGATCGAGTGCATTAGGTCATGTTAAACTCTGGTTATCAAGTCTTAATTCCCATATGTATAAGAACATGCAGGAAATCAAGACATCAAAATTAAGCTATTTCAATTTTGCATTGGTGATGTTCTATTATACATTTCAGCTGGGATAAAATGGCACTTTATGACTTACCAGCAATGATTGACTATGTGTTAAATACTACAAAAATGGCATCACTTGGTTACATTGGACACTCTCAAGGGACCATGATGGCATTTGCTGGTTTGTCTTTGTATAAAGAACTGGCAGGCAAAGTCAATGTTCTAATTGCACTTGGTCCTGTTGCCACAGTTGGAAATATAACAAGTCCTATAAGATACCTTGCACCTTTTTCTAAAGATGTAGAGGTAAGGGTAATTTGGTTTAGGTAAAACCTTTGCCTCATGCCCCAGCTAATATAAACATAAACTAACCAAGCTTTCTAAATGTCTGACAACATATGTGTAATACACATCGTAACATTGTTTGACCCCATTATGCAATGTGATTACTGCATAGAAAATAGCCTTGATATACTACTTTAAGCCAAATAGTTCTGAACATGCGGTATTTAAAGCATTCGCCACTCACCGGTGTATCATTTTCGTTGCACTCTAGTGCTTCAGCTAGCATATTCCCCTTTTTGCTAGCAGTGCTTCTGCTAGCATATTCACGTTTTTCTTTTAGACAGGGTTTGTTCATAGAATTATATAAAAATTCTTGCTGGAATTCCGCGAAAATACGTGCCGACTGCCGAAATCCACGCGGATGATTTCTGCGCCAAAACAGGAAATTCAGCGGAAACTGAAACAAAAATAATATTCACCTCATCAAACTAGTTAAAATTTCTTTATATAACAAAACTAAAAACTTCCTCACTTGGTCACCAACTATAAAATTGTCGTACGTCAATTTAAACGTTAGATCATATGAATAATATAGTGTGTCTACTACATGGTCGGTGTCCCAAAAATTAATTATTTGACTATTAAAATCAGATATTTAGTGTAGTTTCATTTAGGGGGATTTTTGATAGCGTCTAAAACAAACAGCGAACGAAGATACGTCAAACCACCGATTCAACTTACCGCTAATTCGACTATTCGAGTACGAACATAGTAGGTAGCCCAGAAATCTGTTTGTATTCAGTCTTCGACTACAATGTTTACGCGCGCAGTCAGCTTCTACTGTCTGTACTAATTACTTACTGTATTAAACAAAGGTGAAAAACGTCTTTGGCCAATCAGCGCTTTTGTTGACATTTTTATTATTAACCAATCAGACTCTTTGTTTTTACGCTACCTCCGGTGGCACACAAGAAATTTACTAACAGTATAGTATGTTGAATAAAGCCTTCGGGGGGACAGGATTTTGAACTTTTTAGATTGAATACAACGGAATATGAAAAAATATTCATTTATCTAAAAATCTGTCGGCCAGATTTTTGCTTTAAGGTCTAGTATTAATGCTATCGACATTTAAACAACGACGTACGCAAAAATCCGGCCGACAGCGAAAATCTGGCCGACAGATTTTTAGATAAATGAATATTTTTTCATATTCCGTTGTATTTAATCTAAAAAGTTCAAAATCCTGTCCCCCCGAAGGCTTTATTCAACATACTATACTGTTAGTAAATTTCTTGTGTGCCACCGGAGGTAGCGTAAAATCAAAGAGTCTGATTGGTTAATAATAAAAATGTCAACAAAAGCGCTGATTGGCCAAAGACGTTTTTCACCTTTGTTACTGTATTATATATATTGATTTAATTTATGCGAAATTGCCTTACTAACTTTCATCTTGTTATGTTATTTGACCGATCGGGAAATTATTATTATTCCGCATTGAATTATTTAGTTTACCTAAACTGTCTGGAGACGTCTTATAAATTTCAAAATCAAATAAATTTTCTCTTGAGCATTTATTTGTGCCTTTTTCATTCAGAATTTCTCTGTTTTTCATCTCGTAATGGATCGCCGGTAACGCCGGTCCATTACTGGTAAGTGCCGGTCCATTACGGGAAAGTAATGGACCGCTGAAAATTCTCCTCAGCCAATCACTGAGCTCCATTTCACCGGAAGTGACGCTTGCCATATAATAAACAGCCAATAAATCGTTTTGAATTTGTTTAATTTTTTTAATGATTTCAAAATGAATATAATAAAGTGGAAATTGCACTTCGTGTCCTGCAATTTTGGTGTGAAATCACGTGAATTGTAATCACGCGTTTGATTTCACACCAAATTGCACTTCACGCAGTGCAATTACCATTATTGCTGCCGCAGCGAGGTCGCCTGAGCGACCGAGCAAGGCAGCAGTCCCTAATTTGTGTAGTAGGGGATGCAAATTTACGAAATAGCGCACTGCATTGTGGTAAAAGATCTCCTACCACAATGCAATGCGGTCGGTATACTATAAAACGACTCCATGCTTTATACGGTCAGTGTTTCAAATTCAAAGTGTTTTTGGAAGGCAGACACTGAGTTAGCCGTGAGATTGTGCTCGCATGACGCATCACTGTTGTATAAACGGACACCAAAAGCGACGTGGTGAACCATACCGTTACTTGGCAATTGGAGTCTTGTGCTTTTGGTCTTTTACAAATACTTGCGCGTTTGGAATTTGAACTTTAATCTATTGTGATTTTAAGGTGTCGTATAACATTTGACTGTCACTTGTTTTATAGCTTTGTCATTTCGATTTTTTTAAAAGGTTTGAAACATATTTTCTTTTACTTTTATCATTGGGGTAAACCTGTGTGGCGTAACTAAAGCATGTATAAGTATTTAACTTTTAAGTTAGTTCTTTGATTGTTTTATTTAAGGGGCTAAAGCCTCAGGGTTTTAGTTTCACAAATACCTCGCGCATTTGGAATTTGACCTTTGATCTATTGTAATTTGAAGTGTCGTATAACATTTGACTATAATTTGCGTAACCATGGTATGAATTTTTAACAAGCAAGCATTTTGCGCATGCTATTTCTATAAGAGTATAGGCAGCACTACTGCCTTTAGGTAACCTAGTTAATAACACTAAAAGTATACTAAGTTGAAAACAAACTCACTTTGAAACTGGAATTATTGAAAAGTTTAAAAAAAAAGGCGCAGTCAGACCTTCAGAAATTCAGGTCGCAACTAAAAAGCCTCTGTCTGATATTTCACAGTACAGACCTCTGACGCTCGTTCAATAATCAGTTAATATTTTTTTTTACTTTTAACGGATTTCTTCGGTAGAACAAGTATTGAACCAACCCCCCTCGATTATCGCATCTAGTTTCGGGCCCACGTAGAATCGTGGGACCAGTTGTTTAAAAGGCTAGTTAACTTTTAACTGTAGTTAAGGACAGAATTGGTCAATCAGAGTCGTGTATTTCTGAGCTAACTAGGATTTAACTATGCAAAATATAGTTAAAGAATTTTATACAACCAGCCCTTGGAATTCAGTGATTCGTGCAATATTGCCGGATCAAGTTATAGCTTGTGCCTACAATACCAGTTCTTAGTCTTAACCGTTAAGCATGATTTGTTTCGTTATTATCTCATTTAGTAATGCCTTAACGAATTTTGGCGTTTTATTTCAGTTGCGATATCAAATAAGCCACAAGCTTACCTGCAGGTTCTATTCCAGCCGGAGGCCGGTTGTATAAACATTTTACATGAATTATATTGTTAAATCCTTGTTATCTCAGAAATCACGACTCTGATTGGCCAATTGTGGCTAGCTAGGTTTAATGAAAATTCAACCTGACCCCATATGTCTATATATTTTTCGTGCGGAAAAACCAGTTATAGTTTGTTTTGTTAAAACCAATGTATTTTATGTAAAACATAATAAATATTATGATTTTTTAACTTTGCTTTTCAGAATAATTTTCTTGCCAATATAAAAACTGATAAAATTATAAGTTACATTACTGAGGCCGGGGAATCATTTTTAGCGGTTAAAGTCAGCCGCGTTGGTTTTTTTTATTCATCAATCTTTCTTTTAAGTTTCTTTGCAAGTTTATTGGAGCATGTGGGTTTGACTTCTTGCCATCTGATGCTTTCATGAAATTTCTCGCCACGTTTCTTTGTGGTCATAAAGAATTCGAAGATATTATCTGCGAAAATGTGATGTTTTTGTTATGTGGTTATGATGCTGCTCAGTTAAATAAGGTACTTTTTTTCCTTTTCAAAGGGTTTTTCTCGATGTAGTTTAAGAAAGTGAAATGCGAATGGTCCTAAGTTTTATTTTTATAATTTTTTTTTGAAGACTCGTCTTCCGGTCTATATTTCCCACACTCCTGCGGGAACGTCAGTAAAGAACATTATTCATTATGGTCAGGTATGCAGTAATTCCATTACTTTATGTTATATGATTGGAATGTGTAATTTACGACACACATGCAGGCAGAGAATATTTTAGGGCAGAAATTTACTTGCAATGAGCATTGCTTTGCAAACAAAGATACAGAGTTTGCAAGATGCGTCTCTTTTTCGTTCATTACTCCGGCGTCAGCGACGGAGTTGAAAATTCGCCTCGGTTTTGTTTTGTTTTTGTTTTTTTTTTATTTTTTTTTTTTTATTTTTATTTTTTTATTATTTTTCGTCGTCGCAAGTCTGTAATGGCGCGAAACATTCTAGTATTTAAAATGTGTATGTGATTGGATTTATCTACGTCCCAGTCTTGTCTCCCAAGAGTTGTGGTGCACAGCTTTGGCTAATTTTCCGATGCGCGATTCGATTTCGCTCGCATGATACGGCAACTCCTCCAAGAGGAACAAATAAACCGTTCTTTTCATGCTTTTCGATTAAGTTTAGACTGAATTGGGGTAAGAATATATTTAATACATGTAGATTCTGGTCCTATTTTAGTAATATCGCTGCTATTTCGCCGTTTAACAAGATGATATGGTCGTGTATGGGCGCTTTGACTCGTCGTAGTTTGCACAGGATTGAAGATATAATATATATAAGCGCGAATGCCAAAAGCAAAGTGTAAGACAAAGCGAATGTATCATGCGGTTTATTTACATTTTTGAACAATTGAACTTCTATACTTTTTAAAGTACGATGTGCTTCTGAATTTCGCGATGGAACATTTAGGTTCGCAAGGCATCTAAATGCGAATATGAACTGCATTGTTTATGTTCAGAAGCTCTATATTGAAGTCTGGCACGTGCGCCGGAGTTAACGCCAGAACAGGCGTCTTGTTACCTATAAATTCAAATGAATGCAAGTGAAGATATGCTATTACTTGGTCACAGTAGCTTTGAATTAAAGAGTTAACCAGATACTAGGGTGTGCTAGTAGATTGGAAACAACTAACTTAAGCTAGACAGAACGTCTTTATTAATCAAGTTTTACTATATTTTATAGATGGTCGAATCTGGGAAATTTCAAAGGTTCAACTATTACAATAAAAAGGACAATTTGGATCATTATAACATGGTATTTTTCATACAATTTTTGTAATGTGGCAGTACCTAGATCTGATCACTGCTTGCATGGGTTACTCGTGTAGAAGCCGTGACCGCTTAATTACAGGGGTGTATCTTTATGTATTTTGTTGATAACATACCATAGTAACAATCGCTTTCAAAAGAAACATTCAGCATAAGACGAATACACAAATTCATTGTATAGCTTTTCAAGATTCTGATTGGTTGACAAGTCCGTAAAAACCCATATCCGGACCATGTCCGTATATTCCGTATCTGGACCGCTATCCCGGATATCTCATGTATAGTTCAGCCATATAATTAACAGATTATTGACCTCGCTTGTTCGATCTGTACTGTCAAATATCACACTGAGGTTTTTTGCATGAACCTCGCTCCTTCGTCGCTTGGTCCATGCTAAAAAGCCTCAGTCTCGGTCAATAAACAGTTAATACATCCCCGCACAATTAAGCTTTTTGTTACGGCCACATAACTCGTTGAACTATTTGAGGTTAGTTCCGAACAGTTAATCGCTGGATCGGAAAGCTTAGTTATTGAAAAATACAAAGGAATCATTGAAGAAATTAACATGGATTTTTGTTTTCGCTAGACTGAACCACCTGTATTTAACGTGTCCCATGTTTCTGTACCGACTGTACTATATTACGGCGAGCATGACTGGTTGGCTGACCCACGCGATGTAGCTTCACTGGCCAAAGCTCTACCAAACGTTATTTACAGTCAAGAGATACCGAAGTGGGAGCATCTTGATTTCATATGGGGTCTTGATGCAAGTAGATTGGTCTACAAACCTCTTTTGAAATATTTGAATGAGTATGCTATGTTGGAGATTATGGCATAAAATGTTCCGAATCAATGAAAATACTGTAGCTATCTATATATCAATGAGTATGAAACGTCGGCCATTATATTTTTATAATTTTAGATCGCATGTTACGATTTATGGCTGCACGATTTTTATTGTCTTTAGATAAACAAATTCTTCATAGTCAATTTGACCGGGGCCAAAGGCCCATATGCAGACCGAACACGATTAGCTTGGCTTGCCCAAGACGTCAGTATCTTCATTGCTTGGAACATCTATTGCGAACAAATCAAAATTGGGGGTTCATTTTGACGTATTAAATTGGTGTTAATTCAAAATGAGTATCTACGAGTAATTTCGAAAAAATCTATTTTAAAGAAACAAGGGGAAATTTCGTTTTGAACTGATCGGCAGGCTAAGCCAATTAGAATGCCTAAATATTTAATACTTTATGTAAGATGGTTAATGGTAAATAATGTATCTTTTTATCGGAAATGGTTACTGAAATGTAGACATAATGTCTGATTGGTCTAAAACGAAATTCCTCCTTGTTTTTTAAAGAATATTATATTCGATGGAGAATGCAATTAGTAATGAGAATAATTCGTGACTGAAAGTGCCTGATAATCATGCTTTATGAATGCAACCTAAAGTTATCTTTAAAGGAAACAAACTTAAAAGTTGTGCTGCATAAGATTATGTTGACTACCCTTCGCAATCTATAGTTCTTATTCACAATTACAAGTCGTCGCGCTTTCTATCTGTGCCCGGCGCATGAAAAATGGTAGCTGCATCACCTGCATGCATCAGTCGGCGTGCTCTTAATTCGTTCGGTACATGAGAAACGCGATGATGTAATTATTAAATTTTAGAGAATGAAAGAAATTAGTATATTAATATATTTAATTAGAGAAGGAAGGAAAGAAGTATATAAATATATTTAATAGAAGTGCAGTCTTGTCTTTCATTTATCTATTAAGATCAGTGAATGTATGACCAGAACTAGTAGAAAAACACAATCCACATTCGTCGCCAGAAGATTTTAACTTTATAATATAGATATGCGAAGTTCATTTCAGAAGCGTAGGAAGGTATTGAGGATTGGGGGACGGAGCACGCTACGAGATACCACCATGGTTGGCGCCTCGTTAGAAATTTTTTTTATATTTGATTGCTGTAGATCCGGAAAATGATCATTTTAGAACACAGGTACATGTGTTACTGTCTGTTTCAAATTGAATTTCAAATAATTTTCTTTTAATTAAAGTACCGTTTTGTTATCGGGCTTGAAAGAACGCCCCCCTACATATACTTAGAGAGCTTTAGAATTGACTACGACTCCCGCGCTACCGCAACGAGATTCGTCAGATTGACGTGATATTCGTGATACTTCATACTGACGCAGCACCCCTGCTTTCTACGCCCTTGGGCTTGGTTCATTCGACCCTTTGCGTGGTCGTTAGTCATGCATTACCCAACAGGGGCCGGTTGTATCAGCCCGTTCAGCTTTAACGGTGGTTAAGTTTAAAATAGAAAGCAAGTCTATCGTTTTATTCAACAAACGAACTAAATTTTTTTAACCTTCATACACAAAGATACTGTTTACAACTACATATCCAGTGTATATTATTCAAGTTGACTCATTCAAGAGAGACTTAAGCTAAACGGGCTTGATACAACCCGCCCCAGGAGAGCAAAGGGTAAGTTTAGGCAGGCCGGAGTGACGCAGGTTTTGATACGATCGCTTTTATATATAGAATTATCATAATAGCCCTGAACAAATATGCACTCCCCTGTTTATTAGTGAGACGCAGTGAACTCTGTAAAGAATGGGACGATAGCTGACGCGGTTAAGAATAGGATCATCTGGCCGCCACCATGCAGTGCCAGCCCAATCGTCTGCGACCATGAGGAGAAAAACTAGAAATGAATTGTTTTAAATTCCAGATTTGAAAAAAACTTTTAGCGAAAAAGGCTTCATGCCAACCAGTGACTTTAAAACTCATAATTAAAACTATTTTACAGCATTTATGTTCGACAGCAGTTGCCCAGAAGAAGACACCACCAATATTTTATGCCCAGGGGTTGTTGAAAAATCAAGCTAAAACATGTCGACATGAGCATAAGCGTTTTTTTCTGATAGTTGGGCGTTGTTCAGAATGGCAAACATTTTAGGGAATGAGTTGTCTTTTATCAAATTTATGGTACAACATCCAAAGGCCATACAAAATTTTTTTATTGAAAATTCATTTTATCCATTGAAGAGACTCAAATTACCATTCTGGTCTCGTGCGAACCACTCTGGTCTATTTAATCGAACTTTGCCTTTCCCAATACCCGGAAACCATCTACCCTCTTAATGCCAAAGAAAACATCACACGGTATGTTAAAAATATGGGCGTGATTTAATTGTTAAGTTGATATCGAATGGTGCATTTATTTACACAACTTAAGTATAGAGGTATTTACAACAAATACAAATGAATAATTTATAAAATGTGACAATAAATTTATATACAATGTAGCTTAAAGCCGAGATTATCAAAAACATCTACAAGCTTTACAAGTGTATAGGCCAATATGTTTAAGACAAAACAAAAGTAAAATATACTTAAGCAGTTGATTGGATAATTGGATTAAACTAGGCATGACTGGGGCAGGTTGTAAGAAAGCTAAATTGCGCGATTCAACGCCACCCTTCACGCATGTAATTTCAAAGCCTTTTAAATCTTAATAAACCTTAAAATTTAGTTCCAGTGGTTCTGTTCCAACAGCGTTTTACAACGGTTAAGATCACTATCCGGTGGATAGCGTCAAATCCAGCTTTTAACAACCGGCCCCGGACAATTTAAAAATAATTCCTATAGTTTGAAGCGAAGGTTTTTCTAAATCGTGCAGAAATTTACTAAACTAAACCGTCGTTAATTAATTCAAAAATTTGCGCAGTTAGTGAAACTTATTGAAAAGTTTGCGAAACTATTGAGACATTGTCAAATACAACTTATTACGACCACCCAGGTGGAGCTTTGTTCAAACTTCCACTCTTGATCTTAGGAGTGCATGTCGAGTCACAAAATAATAAAGGAAGCTGTCTGACATAAGTTACTACAGTATGGAAAATGAATGCTGCTGTACAAGATTAAGAAGTTGATCTCATTCTGAAAACCAGGGAACTGAATCCAGAGAACTGAATGCAGAGAAACCCACGATTACGAAAGAGATGACAAATGTAAATTTTGCCATAATATCTACTGCCAGTTGAACATTGTTTAGTGGTAAAAAACAAATTGACGTATTTTCGGAGTACACATTTAAACAGGAATTTATGCTTTGTTGTATTCTAATTCAACAGCGTTGTGTGTTTTCGTGCTATTTTAGCATTCTGAAAAATGTGCATCCGTCATTCTTTCCGTAATGATAGAATACGAAAGTACAGACATAAAACAGGTTTTGCATGGTTGATGTCTTTTGGTTAATGTCAGGTTTGGTCATGTCTTTCAATTTGAGACAAGGTAGAACGTCATCTTCGAAACAGAAATTTCCTAGAAAGCATGTTTATATAGAGAAACCATATGTATATTACGCATGACGCAACCACCTTCTAGACTCTCATATAAACAGACCCGCATATATTGCAGTGTTGATAGTTAATGCTAAACATGTACTTTTTCTAGAAGTTTCTGATTTCTGGATTAGGTTTACGATATAAGTCATATAACAGGTTACAATATTCTGAGACAAGAGCATTGGAAAATGTTTTCTGGTGCCATAAAAGGCCTCGCTTATAGATTTTGTGGTGATTTGCAATTGGCTTTGAATCTCGAATTCAATAAAAAATGCAATATTAGGGCACAATGCATATATCCAGTTTATAAAGCATCTACGCATCTCGCACTCTTCTAACTATATATAGATCGTTTCAACCTGATGACATATCAACGAAAATTGCCTGAAAATGATTGTAACGATGATAAGGTGGTTGTCTTTTGGCAAAGTGTTGGTTATGTCTTAATTGATCTTTATTAGAACACCAAAGTAAATATTAAGAGGTTTTTTTGGTAAAAATGCTATTAAATTCGTTCACGGTTTACTAAGAAAAGCAATCTGGTTTTATATTTTGGTAAAAGTGTGAAATATTCAATTGGTAAATAGTATTGAAAACATGTATTTTTTATATGCAATACAATGTCTGATTTCAAGAGGTAAAATCTAACAAGAAATATATGCAATAATGGCCACAAAATATTCCTTCTTGATTTGCAAATGAAATTTTGTGCAAAAGGAAACAAACAAGGTGATGACCGTCATCTCGACCACACGTGATATATAAACCACAAGATCGTATTTTGATCATGTTTTAAAGCAATAGGGATTGATGCATGGTCTTCTCATTACACTGTCTGATTCGGTCACCGCATGCAGGCTGGAAACGATCTATATAAGTTCCAAGTGCTTTTTAAGAAGACAGACAAGTATGTTTATAAATTAAAGAACAGTAACTTATTCGCGGTTAGATATTCGCTCTGCTCTGCATTTCTATATAACGGATTTTGTATGGCTTCAAAATGATAACCCTTCAAAGAATCAACGTTTGGTGGCCGTGGACTGGCTCTTAACTAAAATAAATGGCAGGCTATCTGTAACCAGAGACGTTTTTGGTTGAAACGAGTTGTTCCACGCGGGTAAACACACAGTCAAATACGAAATATACCGTTACACACAAATTTCACCTCCAAACTTTGGCTAAAGGTAAGCGTATAGACGCGTATTTATCTTGAGACAGCCTTTCTTTTATTTTAGTTTTATGCGGTTAATGCCCGCAATGTGTAATTTTTCTGGAAATAAATAATTTGACAATGCCATTTAATATTGGATGTCCATGCATGATAACAAAAATGATGCGGCCATATTCATTTTCGTCGTTTTTTCCTGTGACTCAACCTGCGATAAAATGAGGGATGCAGTTGGGCTTTTACGTCATTGGGCAGGCAACGAATTGGAAGAGATTTCCGATAGGACGTCTCAATTTCATCGAATGGCACCCACTCATCTGGCAGACTGAAAGGAGAAATTCGTGCATGATGAACAAAGCGTAAAATATAAAGCCTTGTTTCACATGATACGCTTAAAAATTTAGGAAAGCAACTATTGAAATTATATATTTATAAATGCATGATATATGGAACAAATGGTGCAAAAGGTAAGGTTTAAGACATCAGGTCATCATCATTGGGGGAGAGCTCCACTAAACCGCAGTCTGTAGTTTCCCACGTAAAAAACAGCGCATGCAGACGGCGTCTAGAACTCTCTTATATATAGGGTTCTCTTAATATCAGCCGTTGTCGTGGCGTTGAGTTCTACAGTAGATGTAGTTATACGACATAAGTCAGGGAAACGTAACTTTTCTTGAAATGCAGTCTTAAAAGGGTCTGTCAAGCGTTTTGGCCATGTTACGCGAATTTTCATATTCCAGAGACATATAGAAAGTTTGACATGATACAATATTTCCAAACATTTTGAACGATAGTGCATTACTGATCCGTATTGCGATGCATCCGACCTGCTATGGCTTTTAATAACATCTGCGTGGAAAATGCATTAATACATATATTAATATACATTTTCCAAGAATGCATGCGTGTTGTCAGGATCGAAGCGGGAATATGTGTATTGCAGAATCATTCAGCCAAGCTGAACGAATCAGTCTACGGCACTCCGTAGAAATACAACATCGCCACCGCAATAAACTATTAAACAGTAAAATGAACTACCGATCGCTGATTCGTATAGGACAACGAGCATTTTCACCAACTAGCAAAGTCAGGAGAATACTTGAATGAAACCGAAGCTTATATATAGGAACGTGCTAAAGTAGACGTGGGATATGAAAATGATTTTAGGACAAATAATAAAACTTAATAATGATTTGAAATAAAAATTTTGAAACCGAACTGCGAACTTGCCGACGATTCCGAAAATAAATCGCTCTCACTGCGGCTTAGCGCCCGCAGACGCCGGCTGGACACAGAAACGCAAATCACCCACGTCTAATTAACTGGACGAGGATTTTAGTACGTTATATCATGGCAGTACTGTAACTATAACAGGTGTAAATAGTTCAAGAATTTTTTACGAGATATATACGTATCAATGCTAGACATGAATCGTAATTGATGCAAGACATGAATATTTTAAATTCATGCAACTCACAACTGCATGGTATACTGGATTCACAGGAATTGTTAAAGGGTAATTCTACTGAAATATGACCTGTAACCATCATGGACAATTGGGGAAAAGTAAACAGTTAGTTTATACATTACATTGATTCTGGTATCCAATGAAGTAATATCTCCTTTTCACCCTTCTTGCTTACTCTTTTACCAAAAGGCTGGAAGAAAGGAAATTAAGTTGTTTTAACATCTATATAAAATTGAAAATTTATATCCATCGCGAAAAGGGATTCAGTTTGAAGAGTACAGTAATCTCCAGCGTCTGTACTAGGGAGAGAAGTACAGAAAAGTTTTATACAATAGAGACGTCAGCGAAACGATCAGCAGATTTAAGGAAGGCTGTTTTAAGGTTTCCGGAAGGCTACATTCCTAAAAACGCTCAGGTTGATGCAAGTTGATACAAACAGGATGGAGCAATGTTGTGCTGCCCACATTGTTCAGAGTTGTTATCAACATTGAACAATATTGTTGAAACTGAATCGGGTGTAACGATATTGTTCAATACTGATAACAACTCTGAACAATGTGGGCAGCACAACATTGCTGCATCCTGTTTATATCAACTTGCATCAACCTGATCGTTTTTAGCCGTGTAGCATTAAAGAAGTGTTTGTATCGAATAGAACGCCTGTCCAAGACAGGCTTTTTTAAGGCCTCTTCGCACATTCAATTTTGTCGGATCCAATTGACTTCTGACATATGGAATAAAGTATGTTATTGATAAAGTAGTGCTGCATTGGGTTAAAATTAGAAAGGCCTTGAATAGCCGAGAATGCAGAAAAAGCGTATTTCAGTATATTATATAAGCGTATTTCCGCCTTGCGTAATTACAGAAAGAACAAAACGGCGGAACGTAAGCTCAAATTACGTTGTTTATGTCAGCAAATTAAATACGCAATAAGGAGCAAACATAAAATTTATCTAAGAAAAGTTGAAGCTTCATTCAAAGAAAACCCTAAATTATTTTGGAACTACCATAAAGCGATCCTTCATCATCACTCGGCGTTAAGTCCAATAATATCGTACAACAATCGTACAGCCAAGACGCCAAGGGAGAAAGCTGAACTTTTCAATTCGTATTTTTGCTCTGTTTTCCAACCTGCCAAAACCATTTCCCCTCTACCATCTACTTTCCCGTCGTCATCTGCCGGTCTGTTATGTGAGATAACCATCTTGGAAGAAGAAGTTACCCACCACCTTTCAAAATTAGATCCTACGAAAGCCAGTGGACCTGATGGCATTCCAGGCAGAATCTTAAAGGAATGTGCTTCTATCATCGCTCCGAGTCTCTGTGCACTTTTTAATCATTCTCTACAATCCGGAATTATTCCTTCTGAGTGGAAATCTGCTGATATCACCCCAATTCACAAGAAAGGTAATAAAGAACCTGTTACCAATTACCGACCCATATCTCTCCTACCTATCATTAGCAAACTCTTGGAGCGATGTGTCTGCAACCAATTTTATGAACATGTTCGTCATATGATCCACCAAGCTCAACACGGTTTTCCACACGGTCGTTCTTGTGTAACACAACTCCTTTCCACTCTACATGATATTGGAAAACTACTCGACCATAACATCCAAACGGACGTTCTCTTCCTCGACTTTGCGAAAGCCTTTGACTCTGTGGATCATGCTATGCTCCTGCAGAAACTTCAAAATTATGGAGTATCTGGAAACCTGTACAACTGACTATTTACATGATCGTGCTCAACGTGTCGTTGTGGAGGGTGCTGCCTCAGAGTGGTCACCTGTTACTTCTGGTGTTCCTCAGGGGAGCATCTTGGGTCCTATGCTTTTCTTGCTATTCATAAATGACTTTCCTGATGTTATACCTAAAGCTACATCAACAGGATTGTACGCTGATGATACGAAGTTATACCAAACAATTAAAACTTGCGAGGACGGCGTGCAGTTGCAACATGCCTTGTCGCGTGCTGAGGATTGGAGTAAAGATTGTAACATGAAATTTAACACATCCAAATGTAAAGTTTTAACGATATCCCGCCGCAAAACCCCGTGTCAAATAAATTACCATTACCAACAGCGAACTTGATCTGGGAATCACTGTAACCAGTAACCTTTTGTGGAATACTCACGTCAATAATCTTGTTAACAAGGCAAACAAAATGCTTGGACTACTAAGAAGAACATGTCCCTTGCTAACCAATCATGATATTCGACGTGCCCTATACCTATCTCTTGTCAAATCCCAACTATCATATGCTACGCAAGTCTGGGCACCAACCCTCCACACAAGTAAATCAAATCTGGAGAAACTTGAGAGAGTTCAGAGGAGAGCTACAAGATGGATACTGGGAACGAAGATTGGTGACATCCCCTACAAAGAACGGATGCTCTCCCTTCACCTTATACCCTTGGCGTACGATAGAGAAATAAAAGACTTGATTTTCTTCTACAAGGCGTTGTATGGATTTTATGATTTGGATGTCTCAAGTTATGTGTCATTCGTTGGTCATAGTGGAACTCGTAACTGTAATAACCCTTCGCTTCTACTAAAAGTTCCGTCATGCAGAACCAACACCTTCAAGTCCTCCTATTTCAACCGAATTGTCCCCCTTTGGAATCGTGTTTGTAAAGTAGGCTTGCCTAGTGATCTTCACAGTCTGTCTTCGTTCAAAAAATTTTTGTCGAAAACTTACTTAAATTTGCTAATCTCTAGTTTTGAGGTTGACATGACTTGCACTTGGTCATTACATCGTAGTTGTTTCTGTCACCAGGACTTGTCTGTTACGTAATTTAACAATTGCAACGTGCTTATGTGTCTAGATGTGTGTGTTTTGTGTAATACAGTAACTGCATGCTAAATACGGGAGAGTTGCCTCGCATGGGTCTAAAGGTCCCGCTCGCACTCTTGCCGCTTGGGTATTGTTATCCAATAAAGTTGTAAAAATTAAAAAATTAAATTAAATTAAAATTTAGGAACGGTTATGCACCATTCGGAAAAACGGACAGCTAATGACAATATTTCATTTCACTTCCCATGAGCCCATGTCTATAATCTCTCACAACAACTCAAGTAATTAAAAACTAAGAACGGGGAAGCATTTCAACTTGCACAATTACCTCAGCAATAAAATGTATGCTGGATCCATCGATTCCAATGGATTCCGTATCTGTTCCAATCATACTTGTCAACCGCGATTTGATGCTGTCCACTGTGTGTTGGTCAACAAAATCTTCAACTTTTCCTAAAACAATAAATTGCCACTAAGATCAGATAAAATCTAGATCCTTACAATCTAGACAGTACAAAATGTTAACAATCTACAATATGGTCGTGATTGTAATCTTTGCGTTGTGATTACTTTCATTAATTAAACGAGAGTGGCGATAATTGCAATAGATTATACCTGTTTGCCGTGAACTTATTAACTTCCATCTAAAATCTTTACATGTCAAAAATGAAAAATGCTATTGACCTTACTATAAACACGACGTTCATTGCATTATTAGCAAATCCTAACAGGGAATGTTCTACCAGCATTAATAAGGTTACGTAAGTCAAATTGAGGTTTCAGATTTTGGTTCCATGAACCCCGTTAGAAAAATGAATTCAATTGCAACAGTAATGGCTTGATTTTCTGGGAGAAATGGTTTGCATTATTTTTTCGACTGTGTTGGAAAATTCCTTCATATATAAGTATTGTTGTAAATCATAGTGCTTCTAAAATCTGGTTCAAAAATATCATTAGGATAAATATCATAAGACGATGAAGCGAAATTTGGACTCAATTAATCTTCCCCTAAAAGAGCTAATCTATTTAATTAGGATCAAGAAATTTAATTACATGCAGTGGTTAAGAAAATTTGTTTGCACTCACTTCTTCTGATTAGTGATTAACACGTTTATTCTACTACAACTAAATAATGTAACTGGTCAATGTGGTAATAGAAAATTTGAATTAAACGTAGAAGTAACAAAGGATTTGAATATACTCATAAAATGCCTGGCAGTGTCGTAAACTAGCGAACCACATTTGTCATTATAGCCGAATTCATATTAGAGCCGGGAAACTCGTCTTTCACGGGAAATTCGTTTGATGTGAATCCGGTCACAGGCGGGTTTCTCGTCCGAATTTTCCCGTCTAAACATGCAGACGGATAAGCTGGACAAGAATCCCGTCTGGACGAGAAATTTGTTTAGAATTCGAATTTAGACGGATAAATCAGACAAGTTTCTCAAATATATCAACACGGTCAAGAACGGAACAACGCTAAGAGAAAGTACAAACAAAATGATTATCGTACTAATGTATACGTTATCTTTTTAAGCATTACCCCGATCCATCACATACGTATAAACGTATCCACCATCCCTTTTTATATTGAGACGGGTTGCATGCAATCAATGTAGGTTAGGAACTGCTAGTCTGGGTTATATACGTTGACAACTGCATGTGCTTATCACAGGGAAACTTATGTTTATCATTTCTCTGATACTGTAGGATACCACAGGAAATTAAGTTTTGTGCATGGTTAAGGCATGCTGTAGGCTCCAAAACTCGGCAGTATAGTTGAGGTATTCTCACATTAAGGAGCTAAAGGTCTACAAGCGAAGAACAACGTCTACAACCCAGAGTAAAGTTCAGAGTTACTGAGAAAATGTCTTCGAACCACGCTCACGTTCACGGTCTAAGTCTTATATCGTCAATTTCGGGTTAGAATATATATACAGATTATTTACGAGTTTATGATCTATTATTTTCGTCGCCAATGGCAAAAGTGTATCTACCTATCCTGCGTGCGTTTGGACTGTTTCCCCGCCTCAATTGTGCTCACACGTAAGTCTTATACCATATTGGGATAACTGGTTGCCTTTGATGGTGTTAGAGCTTACAATCAACTTTCCCGTCGAAGATGAATTTCCCGTCCCTAATTGGAATTCGGCTATTTTTCTATTACATTGAATGTGTTCATTTTTTGTCAAACATACTCAATGGGGAATACAAACCTTATACCCCACAGAATCTGCAAAACTATAACGAAACTTACCATGCGTGCCAGGTTTTTTGTATCGTATGTATTTTAAGCGTTTCCGTCTCAATTGTTTTTTACTTGGCGAATCATCCTTTCCGACATTGTTATTTACATTCCTCTTTGACTGACGTGCATTATCCTGGAAATGGCACGGAACATGCCGAGCAAGACCGGTTTGTGTTGAAAACGACATGGAGCACCCTTCAAAGATACATTTGAATGGTTTCACCCCAATGTGTGATTCTAAGTGTTTCGTGAGCCAGCTCATTGAACAACTTGGTCGGTTGAAAACTTTACAGTCCTGCCATAGGCAGACAAATACGTCACATGACTTCATTGGGTCAACATGGTTCTCCTGAGCGTGACTAGCAAGCTCAAGCACCTCGCAAGCAGTGAAATCACAATCCATCCATTTACATGAAAAACCTTCGGATTTTTTGCCATCATGTTGTAACCTAAAAATACAAACCTATATATGTTAACCAAATACAAACCTAAATATATATATATATATATATATATATGTTTTTAGTGGAAATACTTAAATCTGAACGTTGTGCTAAAATGAAGAATAGGCATTTTTAACTTATAGAACCATATATCAGTTTTTCTATTTTTTAAACATTTATCCAATGCCTATAGTGTCAAAATTTCCACACCTAAAGGAATTGTCAGTTGTTTTAACTGATATGACGCCAAATGTTTGAGGTTAATATTTTGTTTATAATCAATAAAGAGAGGAAAAAAATGTGCCAGTTTAACTTAGATTATGGCAGAGTTATATTATGGCAGAGTTCAGATACAGTATGTGCACCTATGTTGCTACATAATAGGAAACTTTTGGTCAGACAAATTTTGAATTTAATCACGTAAAATATCAAGTTGGCAAGTCTATTGCAAACATTTCTTCTGAATGTGAAAAAAACAGGAATAATGTACTACAGTAAGCATGAAATGTGGTATAACAACTGCCCAAATAGACAAAACACTTCTCGACATTTCGACCTGAGGGCCTTCGTCAGAAGAGTTAGTATGAAAATAAATAGAGGAGAATACATGTTTTGTATGGGGGCAAAACACATGATAAAAATGGGCCAATAGAAAACAAAAAATCAAAACAAATTGGAATACACTACATTGCCTGCAAAGAGGCACCTTATTGTGGGCTAAGAATAGCCCACAATGAGGGAAGCCTAATCAGCAACGAAAACATATTACAACCAGCTTTGATGTAAAGAAAGAAATGGTAGTCATATTACTATGGGTGAAGTAGCTTAAATGAAAGAGAGTCTTTCATTTATGCCAAAGGGATTGAGAGTGCCAAGACTGTGGATGAGTCGCATTTCTTGTCGTTTACGGCAAGATCGTTAGTATCGGAAATGGGGCAGAGGGCTCTAATTTTCATGTCATGTGAGCCCTGATACAAAACATGTATTCTCCCCTGTTTATTTTCATACTATCTGTCCTGATGAAAGCCCTCAGGTCAAAACGTTGAGAAGTGTTTTGTCTATTTAGGCAGTTGTTATACCACATTTGATGCTAAGCTGATTGAAGACACTGCCACACTGCTCCTTGGTTATATTGGAACTTAATATATAGTAAGCATGCATTCATTATCATTAAAGGGATTTATTGCAATTGATATTTTACTTGTAAAAATTGTAGTGACCCAGGCACAAAGAAATCTGATGCTTTTGAGTTTAATGGTGTTTGTAGTTTTCTAGCTGGATGACAATGGTCAATTTATACATTTTTAGCAGCAGCGATGCTAAATCAGAATGCATTTACAATAAAATAATAAAATAAAATACTTCACTACATTTAGTATACACACTGCAATTTATCAGTTCAAAGTTCAAACTTCTTAAAAAAATACTCCATTGTAATATGTAACTAAAATTTTATTTGTGTGTGGGATGACATCAGATAATAGAATGTGTGACAGATTCCCTGTGCAATATAAATTGTATTTAAATGGTAGGATGAAAAACCTAGAGCACATCAGACAAATTATACATTCATACCTAAAGTTGCTTATTAAAAAAGCATCCCAAATTTAGCAAATTTTGTTAGCAAATTTTGTATATATGTTCATATCACTATGCAAGAGGTTGATACTTATTTTTCATGGTTAGTACAAAAAAGCATACAAATTTGCTAATTTTAGACAAATGTATTTTCCACATTTTGCAATACTTTTCAATCTCAGGTAACATCATTTTGAAAAACTATTTCTGATATTTAATGTGTGTAATTATAAATGAAGAAATTTAATACACAGAACTTAAAGACAGGAGTGTCGTGCGGGCAATTAAACATGAACTGTTCAATTTGACCCAGTGAAAGAAAGAATGGTGCATCTACATTGATAATATATACCTCATTACTCAGATAAGCCTGGACGTGCCCTGAACACATGCTTCTATAGAGATATGTTCTGGAACAGAGTTAGACACTCTCAAGATCTTTGGTGCAAAAAGCTGGTGTAAAATGAGTGCAGATGCATAAAATCATTTGCAAGTGTGCAAAAATGATGAATAAAAAATGCAAGTGCATATATAATCGCAGCAACGAGGGGGCAACTTGGACTTGATAATCTGTTTGTTCTCTAACAAAATGATTGTTAGCTATATTTAGGCATCTAATATATGCAAGTTTTCTCAACAAAAATATTGGGTGCAGCTGTGCCTAACTGTGCAGTCAGCAGTTTGTAATATGGTAACTTCAGTGGTGTTATTTGATAGGCATTCTATAGATTAAGGCATCATATCCTATCTACATTATCCTTTTATTCCCGTTACTCCACCTTATTTCTAAATGCTTTAATTTGGCAACACACAAAGCTGCGCAGATAACATTTTAAATGGAATAAGAAGCGAATAATCAAACAAAGAAAATTCCGAATAAAACACACCAACCTAAGCAGAATGCTATGCGAATAACATTCAATTTATTTATTCTAGAAGTCTCTACTCGATGTTCCACTCACAACAAAATATAAACTTACTTATAGAATATTCGCGTTTTGTGTATTTTAGCTACTTTCAGAATGTAAACACAAAACATGTCACATTGTTATATACGCATATTTTATGCAAAAAATTCCAAAATATCTTACCTATTTTCGCCTTTCATTTCGTTTTTTGAACTATCTAAATTCGGTACGGTCATGCTTTTATTTCTAACTGGTGATGCACGTAAAGACGATGCCCTTATGCCTTCACGAATGGGACTAGCTTTTCCTGAGTTTATGTGACTGTAAAATCCATTCAATTTAGTTGATAGCATTTCATGCCCATTTTGTTGGTCCTTTTCACGAAAGCAGGTGGAGATTGTACTATTATTGTCTAGTATAACTCCATTCTTATGCTTTCCTTTCATTTTAACGCCAACATAGAAATTCTTTTCCCTATTTTCTACTATACTATCAACTACATTATTCTCAGCCGCCATATTGTATGTCGATTCACGTGTTCTAAGTCACGTGATAAGACCCTGGGGAAGAGGTGTTACTAACGAACACCGTGTTCATTGGGTTGGCTAAACTCACAAATAGCTTAATGGTTTTACATAGAGAGCCCAATCTTTCACATTTTAATGAATTTATTTCAGTATTAAAAAATATATAAATCCAAAATTGTCTTGATAAGCAAAGAGGAGTGCTATTACTTTTAAAATGTCAATGACAATGTGGTGCAATTTCAAATGTAATTGCGCTATACTTAACATCTGTATATATCATTAACGAGTAATAGGTCTAATAGTGAGTTTCTAGTACAATTGCGAAAAAGTACTTTAGCGGCATTAGGCTATTAGCGCTGTCAGCACTCGTCCTTTAGACTCACTTGCGTATGTTTACCCCATTGAAATTCAAAACTATATTGTTACGGTATAGGCACAGATGCACAGTAGTGTCTGTACTAGTCCAGTGGCCAGGTATGAGGAAATTTTTATGCTATATGTATGACATCATACTACACCCCATTAGTACAGTCCAACAGTAGTAGCCTGTTGGGCTACTACTCATATATAGATGTAATCAATGGATAATATAAATCTAAATCCAACCTTTAGTATGATTTTCTACATTCTTAGTTGTGGAAGTTGTTATACATATGATGTACTGTGCACATATCTTAATATTGCTGTACTTCTCAGTTCTCAGACTTCAAGAAAAATTTGAACGTTGGAAAAGTTTGAGTTGCACCCATTGGCTGGGCCTCCCTTTTTTATTGCCGTGAAAATCATGATGACTATCAGTGCTGTTTAACCACTACTAGAAATCTGGAATCTGGAAACAAAGTATATGTCAACAGTATTTTAGCTGCGTGACGATGCTTGCCGGCTGTGTTGACGAACTGTACATGAGTACATGTTAACGAATTGTACATCTAGATTTTGGTAATTCATGGGTAATAAACGGTCTGTTTGCTTGTGGTATAGAAAGGTGACAGACTACATGCAAAAACCTTAGAATCATCAGACTAAACCAACTACTCCAGCTACAAATACAAAGGCGCAAAAAAATTTTGAAAATCAAGAAATTCGGGCAAAGTTCAGCTGAAACTTCTGGCAAACTGAAAGCTAAATTACATGGCTAAAATTTTTAAAACCAAATTTTGTAATATATATAACATATTTGTATACTATTTCGCTAGTTTGTTACACTTTCTTAAAAGCACATCCGCCGCTTTGCCAAATCTGGTAAAAGTTATAATTCGGGCACATTGTATAATTCAAAAATTCGGGCGATTTTTTTTTGCCCCTCAAACTAAGTTGCGCCCGTACGCCTATGTACAAATATAAGCAGACAAAGATTTAGGAATATAGATACAGTAAACTAATACTCCCGTACCATGATTACGTCCAAAATATATTTTTGGCCTGGACACCTCCGTGTAAAATGGTAATTTTTCTGAATTATTTTCATTTCAGACATCTGAGGGTAAAGGGAAAGTTCACTCTCCTCTATGAATGTGCAAAAACTTCCTAACCGGTCCTAACAACGGTGCGCCCTAAGCAGTGAGCTATATATAGAGAGAGAGAGTTCACGGAGCTATTAGAGGACAGTGAGCTTTCTCTCTATATATCAGAGAGCGAGAGTTCACTGGCCTCCTTAGTAGTAGGAAATTTTGATTTTCGTGTCCAAACTCGCGCGACGCGATTAACCACGCGTGACGGTTACGTGGGTTTCCACGAAGATTCTTCAACTGCTTTGATTCGTAGTCGTCGCGTGGTTTGATCGAAAAATTTGTTGATTGTTGGAAAGGTTTTCATATTAGCGAGAATTTGCTTTCTTTTCTTGCAAGATATTCGGTAAAAGAAAGAAGACTACCGTTAGAAGATATAAGGCTGATCAAGTAATGTACTTTTTGATAATCTATGAATATTTGCAGTCGTTTTACGAAAGACAAATTATGATGCGCGTTTCATCATATAGGTTCGATTCATAAACTCGGTCAATTTTTGTGAACATCTCTTGCGATAAATATTCGTATATAGATTAATAGTTTGACTACAACTATTTTATTTTGCTTTTCAGTAGTTTATTAGGAATACTGACGCTTTTTCTTGTTGGTTATTGTATATTTTATCGCATCTGGTGTGCAGTAATATCAAGACTTGAGGCCTATATTAGACGAATTGCATTTATTAGAAATGTAAAGTTTTAAGAATTTAGTTTTAGGAACTATTTTTCTACAATTCTATTGCCCCTGTTGTGCTATTAAATCATCGTCATATATACACGTTTTATACGTTGTCTACATGTAAATACAATGTTGGACAATGTTACTAGTAATATTCCTGTAATTTTGCATGGTGATATCACAATATCATTAAATTAGCTTGTAGATACACTGCATGTATTTAATATTGCAAAGCTTTTGGTCTGTTAACCTGGGCCTTCATCAGTGCAGGCACAGGTTACCAGCCTGGAAGCTTTGCAATATTAACAAGACGCCTGCTCAAGGCGTTCACTCCGCCTGCATGCCAACTGATGTACCTAATTCATCCGTGGACCGTGTAACCCAGGGCTTCTTGGTCAAAATGTTTTGGGTTGCCTGTAGAAATGCCAATTTCTGTCGCCCAAAACGACGAAAAGGAAAAAAGACCATGGCATTTTAAGACTCCGCTGCGCATACGCAGGCGGAGTAATTACTTGTGTGGTGTACCTATACATACAAGCTAATTTATTTATGTTACTAATTCCCCGTCAAACATGTCTATACATGTTCTTCGTAAAGCAAACTAAAGCCATTTAAATATTTTATATGACTGCATGAAATTTCCACACAATACTACTGCAAGTTAGTCGTTGACTGCATTGACTTGGCTTTGTTCTTGCAAGCAAATTTTTTATTTTATGATCTGCCCCTTCTGTCCAGCATAAGCCTTTGTATACCTTTTTATTAAATTCCAATCTTGTAAAAAAATATTTACAGTGGCTAATAAATTTGTAAAAAACTTTTCACAATGACACTACACTGAAAACAATCATGACCCACATATTAGAAACCAATACATATTCACAGATGAATGTTTTTCTCTATCATTGACCTTACTATCCTCCCATTTACCAAGATTTATGTCACAAATTATTGCAGTATGTGTTTGAGACCTCTTTTGACTTTTGAGCAGTAGAGATTTGCTGTTAGTGTTGTAATGAGTGACTAGTCACACTTCCAACGTGATTTGCAAGTCATTCACCGTGCAAGTTAATTACACTTTTGGTTTGACTTCTTTGCTTAGCTAAACAAAGTCTGTGTTTCCTAATAAAGTTTCTATTTTTTAACCAGTGTGGACAAATAATCCACAATACAGCTCACAGAAGAAATTAAGGTGACTCACAACGTAATTTTAAACTGCATTAACAGGCACCTGTAAATCTGACGTTATATTCACAGTTACTTTTTATAAGGTCTTACTTCAGCACTAATTTCACTCATTTCTTCACATTTCTAAAACAACTCCCTCCCACCTTCCCACTACTTGCAGAAAAGCCTTGGTTGATGAGATTTGACTGACTTCATTTAACTCAATGATTAGAAGCCATCAGTTTAAGGTGCATCTACTTCAAAATCCTATTCACTCCAATATGATCAATTGTTAGATATATAACAACTTCCTTATTTATAGTAAATAATCTGCTACATTGAATAAATGACATCAATTTTTTGTTCCCTTCTGTACACTCAAGAAAAAAGAAGTGTCTTTTTAATGTGGGCTCCTGATTACAAATACATATTTGTTATGTTATGCAAATAGGGTTCAATGTTGCATTCTTAATTTTACTGCGTCAAATTTCACTTGAGTATGTCAATAGAGTGTCCCAAGTAACATCCACACTTGTCAAAGTGAAAGATCGCAGATATTAGTCATAGTCAACACATATACTGTACATATCTGTAGTTGAAAGAGTGATGTAGTTTTTCCTGTGGAAGCCCTATTTGCTTTCACCACTTTTAAAATATTCCTAATGTACAATTTGGCAAAGGCTAAAAGTGGACGCACAAACAATTGCAGATAATTACCATTGTGTGATGTTAGACAATGCAATATATTTAGGAGCTTATGATGAATGTTATGGAAATGATGAAATAAATTTTGACTGGAAAACAATCTAATTTTTTTACTGGAAAACATAGCTCTAAAAGCATGAAACTTAAAAGAGAGAATGCTTACAAAATACTTGGCTGTCTTCATACAGCAACATGCATCTAATTCAGAACCGCCTTGTAAGTTGCAAGAAAAGTTGCATTGTGTAGCATCGTTTTAGTTAAGTTCATGTACCCGAGGTTTCTTTAATCAGTCTCTTAAAATAATTGCCGGTAAACGGACAATGAGGGAAAATGGTCGAAAATGCTTGTTGACCAGTTAATTTTTTTTCCATGCCGGTCATTTTGACGGGTCATATTTGTTTAATAATTCGCTTGGCCTATTTACCAACTTAACATTCGCATTTGAGCGACATTAATTACCATACAGTACATAAATCTCTTGAAAAGCACTATACTATTAACATATACTATTAAGAAGAATCCGGGTGTCTTGGTTCTTGATTTGTCATGTTAAATTTTGAAAGCTGTGTTGAATTAGTGATCGGACAAAAACGGATTTTGACCGAGCAAAAATGAGGTTGGACGGTCAACTTAACCGGAGATACCTCGACCTGTATTTGGAGCCCTACTTAATATATACTTTTAGAGTATACCGGCAAACGTTATGCAACTATACAACTGTACAGTCAATCAGGCAGTGCATTTTGCTTAGCAGCTTTAGAAATGTTTCTTGGGTCAGGTACAGGCGTGAGCTTAAGTTGCACATTTACTGGGGGTTTTTGTTAACGTAGGGTGTGAAGTATATACGCTGGCTGGAGTATAATACACACTTTTGTTACCAAAGCTAACTTCTGTATTTTTTGCGCCCTTTATAGCTGCACCCTGCAAGCGCTTGGATAGTGCTACACAAAGAGTTGCCTCGACGCTATAAGTCCGTGCGCTAAAAAGGAAGCGCATCGCTGCCGTTTGCCATATAAGCACGAGTATTAAAGTGCGCTGACGCAAAGAGCGCATTTGAAGCTAAACAGCCGCACGCAAGTTGACCGACGACGCGTAAGAAGCAGGCCTTGACGCACGCGGTTCGTAGACGACGCGGCGACGTAAGCGCAGAATCCTAGATAATCTCCATGGAAGGCGAAAAGACGGACGCGAACGTGGAGAAATCTGACGAGCAAATTTGCAGAGATTTCCAGCGAGGTGTCTGCAGTCGCGGGGATAAATGCAAGTTCGCTCATCCCTCGGGAATGGGCAGCGAGCCTAAAGATCAGCCAATGATATGCCGCGATTTCCAAAACGGCACGTGCAACCGGAGCACGTGCAAGTACCTTCACGTGACCAACCAAGAGGAGAAAGATTTTATGCGTACCGGGCAACTTCCGCCGGGACATCCTCGCGGCGTACGTGGGCGGGATTCCAACGTTCCGATCTGTAAAGATTTCCTCAACCACAAGTGCAACCGTGGATCTGGGTGTAAGTTCCGTCACATTCCGGAGGATATGTACGGCGGTGGGGGAGGCTACTACGATGAACCACCGCGGAAACGTCCCAGAGATGCGATGGATAACGACTACCGTTACCTCATGGAAGAAAATGTCTCGTTGAGACGAAAAGTATCCGAGCTGCAGAAAGATGTTTCGGATCTTCGAGCCACCAATGATATCTTGTTGGAGCAGAATGCCCGCTACAGGAGGTCCGGGGGAGGTGCGGCTCCCTCATATGGAGGCGGCTACGGCACCGATTCGTACAGCGGTTCCGCTTCCAGCGTAAGTTATCCTTCACGAGATTCATACGCGGGTGCTGGAAGTTATAATGCGTATGCATCTGCCAAACCCGCCGGAACAACTGGTTACGATGGTTATACCAAGTTTGAATGAAGAACTGATTGGATATTTTAATTATTAAGGGTTTTCACTTTTTAATTAGCTACATATTCAAAAGAAAACTATTGGCAGTAATGAAGGACGCAATACTGCTCTCTTTTTAGTTAACATGACCTTGTGGGAGAGATCGTTTGATATCCTGAGAGGCATTTTTTTAATTGGTAAAAACTCTTGTAGAAGTATTACCTATCCTTCCATGGTCGTAATATTTCTAAAAACGTTAGTCTATAACTAAATGCGGCAGTCTGATAAAACTATGTTGAATTTCATGTTACAACAGGCTATCTCACGATCCATCTTTCCTTACAAGTTAAATATTCTGTATGTAGCTTTACATCATGTAATACTTGTTTCAAACAACTCAAAAATATAATTGTTCTGTGGAAAGATTGTTTCGCATTCTCAGCGGAGTGAGATTTGGATTCTCGTGTATACGTGAAGATTTTTATTGCGTTCATTTTCTGCAAGTTCACATTACATGTGATTTCCCCGTTCATATTTTAGCCAATCAGCGCTCAGAAAGTCTGTCGAAATAGAAATCCATTCTGCATTACCTAATGAATTCTGCCTTTTGGCACTCAAAATTTTGTGATTTGGTTTAGCTATGAAAATTATAGCTCTGGCATAAATTTGAAACGGAAATATAGTATATTTCATAATAATTATATTAATTTGAGAACAACCCGAGAAATGGATTTTTATTTGACAATTATTCTCAGTCCTTTCCCGTCATTTCAGATCATCTGACCTTAGTGGCCTATTGTATTTTTGGGTCTCTGTGCTTGATTTCCTGCATTTTGGGTGATACTTACTGACGGATCCATGTCAGTAGAGTGAGGTTTATCGATTATTATTCTTCTAAATATGGCTATTTTGCTAATATTTTCCTCAAAAGAGGAACCTTCACTTTTTTTATGCCCGCATGATATGCAACAGCGCATGACGCTTTAACCCTCTGTTCTGGATCTGACACGTGATTTTGTGAATTTTTAGAGCAAAATGCTTTTAGATGTCTTTTAATGCATTGATAATCGACAAGCTCATTTAAATCAATGTCACCGTTGATTTCAAGTGGGTGCAGTGAATGTTTCTTGGTTATGGGTTAAAATAAAAGATGAAAATCGGGGTATAAGAATGGAAATTTTAAATGTAATCGCGCACTCGTAGTATATTTGAAATTTGCATTCTTTCAAAAATTTTGGCATCGTTGGCTAAGGCGAGGGTAAAACACCCTCCTCTTCTTCGTGAAAGACATTGAAAATGTTGGGAATCATTTGACACCCACACTTATCTTTTGTTTTCATTACGATCAGCGCATTTGCATGAGCCATCCTTTACGCTGACATACGTGCAACATCGCAAGCCATGCTCTTTTAGCAGCGGGGGGCGGGCGTAGTAGATTTGTTTCCATATCAGTTCACATACTCCACTTTACATCGAAAACGATGAGGTTCATGTGAAAATCTAGGATGTTGTGTCTCGGAAAATGCAACACATAAATTGTTCACCCAGAGCTACATTTTCAATCAACAATGACTGATAACTTTGGTTGACTGTTATGTCACCATCGAGTTTATAGTACTCAAGCTAAATGGTGGCGATAGCAAAAAGAAAAAGGTCGATCGAGCGTAGAGTTTGAGGACATACATATCCTGTGACACTGGTCGTGGGCAATAGAATTACAAAAACACGGTAACGGTAACTACATTTCTACAATTTATGGCACAAATATTTAACCAAGTTAAACCACCTTAACAACATATTAAATTTCATATAATTATTTCCATAATGAAGTTTGAAAGAAATTACTACAATTACAAGTTTATAGTTTATCAGTACCACTGACTAAAATCTGTCATTCAAAGTGCACGATATCTTTTCATCATTTTTTCTACAGATTCAAACTCCCTTGCAAACGAAGATCAATTCAAAACCATGTCTAAAATAGCAATGAAATATGCTAAGATAAGTGTGTAACAAAAAAAAGATGGACTGAAGATGATTTAATCGAAACTAGTATCCACAAAAAAGTTGGAAAACGGTAAAAAGGATAAGGATACCTTGAAAGAATTTGTACGAGTTTGAACGAGTTTGTGTAAAATATATTTTTATTTTTTAGCAAAATTTTGCGTATTAATACAATTTGGGTTATATATACAGGCTAGTTACGCTAGTGACCACATGGTTATATACCCCAGCTAAGGTCGCTAACCTTTATAACAGACGGACGTTACAGCTATATAGCCTGTATAACGGACGGATGATCAGACAAACGAGCAGGACACACAGTTTAGCTTTAACAACGATGTTTTTGGTTCGAACCTTGGAAGAAACATACACACAGAGAAGCCTAAACAATAATGTGCTTAGTTCAAATATTGAAAGAAAGAACCGAAACAATTCTCCATCAAGAACATTAGAACCAAGCCACGTTCCAGTAACTGCAAAAACGGTTGCTCCAACTGAGGGAGAAAATTTGCTAAATAATACATGCGCATTTGGCCACTCTTCGCTCACGCGCATTAAAAAAACGCCATATTCATTTACAATACCCGACCAAGTGTCAGTCATTGCTGAGTGCCAGCTCTGTATTTTTTACTCTGTTTTGAATGCACGCGTCAACAAACTGCGCGCGCGACAATGGCGATATCAAACGAACTCGATTCAAAAAAATAACGATTAGTTAACTACAGAATATAGAATATAGCAAAATTTTACTCACAAAATCAGCAGAAATGGCAAATAAAGTGCATATAGTTGCACACATAGATACTTAACTGCAACCTCGTGCAAATGCAGTACTCATTGTGCGGATGGAACGCTCTTTTCTTGACCGAACAACGCAGCGAAAAATTCTCTTCTGCACGCGATCAATTCCGTACCCAATTGAATATACGAGACAAATAATCGCAAATCGACAACTTCATCATTAGAATATAAAGAAATTCCTTCTTACCTTTTCCGTGGTCTTTCTTTGAACTTTCTTGGAGTTTGTTTTTGTTCATAATTTCCTCTTCGATCAAGATTCTCTTCGCGTTATCAATCAACGAAAAGACGTAGTTTTGTATATCTAGAAATTCTAGAAGCGCTGGCTGGTACTTTCTTCCAGAGTAAATATCCAACCGATATTGACCCGGTGACACAGTTTTTCGACTTTCATTGCTAGCCATTTTAAAAGAATTTTCACTCGTTGAAAGTAATGTTTTCACTCGCGCAGTCAGACAATTATGACAGTGATTATGACCACAGTTTAATGATATACAGTTATGGAACTCGCGGCGGAACCCTTTGATGTTGCTGTCCCCCTGCCCACGCCATTCCACGCGCCACGCAAATTGCTCTGGCAAGTGTATTTTAACTCTAAAGTAAGGGAAAAAGGTGTTCGAAAGACGAAAATGTTAATATTTTAAAGCTGGCTCTATCGATCTCCATTTTTGCGCCTAAATTTTAAAAACAAACGGTAAATGGTTGTTTTTTTGTAAAAAATATATGCGTTAGGTTAAAGAAGTAAGAAATACAAGCTTGAATGATTTTCTTTATAAATATCAAGTTGATTGCTAACATCATCGCCGATTATGAATTAGGCAGTTATTTTTCCATCCAGAAAACATCTGAGCTGATCTTAAAACAAGCATGATCGATGTGTTATTTCTAAAATTCAAACACACGAAAAAATTTCTTTGAAAATAATTTATTTTGCCTTAAAACTAGCAAAAACTACATGTTTTTTATTCGAATCTTGAACTTGAATTCAAAGCCAAAGGATTTACAATAAACAAATGCAACTTTTACCTATTATATACAATACTTTCAACATGAGTATAAATCCAACTTCACACACAAATGGTAAATGCTAACAAATATTAATTTCAGTTCATACTTGATTGTAATATTGAAGGACATGCAAATTAATTTCCAATCTAATCTATGCAATGCTGTATGGCTTCTATGAGAAGATTGAAAGCTATTTTCCAGTTTTGGATGAGAATATAATACACATAGGAGACATAATAGGGTTCACAAATATCAGTAAACTACGTACTGTATGCGTTGTAAAACTTTTTTAATAGCCATCTAACTTGCTATCTTGTTGAACAGTAGAAGTCAATGTTTGGATATGTCGTCTGCTCAAAAGTTAACTGACTTTGAGAAGATTGTTTCGCCATCTAGAAAAAAATATGACTGCATGTTGGCGAAATATAGTCAGATAGACCTACATTTATTAGATGAAATACCAAACTTTGAATATTTACCTGGCAGTTCTAGAAGCTTCGTGTGAAAATCGCACTCCTCGTAGTTGTATTTCCCGTTTTTCCCCGTTTTAATTCGTATTATTGCAGTCATTTTTAATCCAAAAGGAGCAATGTCGGATGGATAAATAAAATTTGTCAAAAAAACGAAGAGCAAAAGACCCTTGGCTTTAAAATTGCATTTTTTCTGCTAAAAAATCGAATTTTCCTTATTAAAAGTGCATAAACACTTGCCAGAGCCTAGCGCATGCGCATTAAAAACAGGGGGACAAGATTTGTCGCGAGTTCCACCTCTGTGTAGTACTCTGTGTTATGACGAAGCTAATTATTGCGTCAAATATTTTCGCGCCATCGCGCGTCCGCAATATTCGGTAACAATATTCGGTAGCGCAATTAGCGCACTGATCGTAATCACATATAAAAGGCATTTTATTTATTGCATCGACATTGCTAAACTGCATTTGCTAACATCTAATCTGAAATCAATTTTCACAAAGAACTAAATCCGACTTCAATTTTCGCATCAATCTGGTGGCATGTGTAAAAATTCTATATGAAGACGGGAAGTGAAGTACATAATTATACACCCCAGTTTAGCCTGTGCTAATCTTCCACTCGGGCTTTTAGACACATATACAACATTTACACTATACTTATATTAACATGCATACGAGAAATTATGAATTACTACTAATAAGCATTGAAAAAAAAGTTTCGCGTTTAAAACGGCTGATTTTAATCATGATTATAATGTGGCATGATATCTCAATCACCTTATAGTCCTTACTCGGGCCATGTCTATGAAGTTCTTATCAAATTCATGTGTCCTGAATGAGATTGGGAGGAAGACACACTCCTTACATTGAATGAAAATGACTCATTTTGTAGCATCACTTTGCACTTTGATATGCTCAATAGCATTTAAAAGAGAAGATCTTCACTAATTCATTGCTTCATTCATGACCAAGTGATGTTTGTCCTCTTGACCGTGATGTTTGCTATTATTTTAACACAATAGGTGCATTAATGATGCATTTACCCTACATATAGCACAAGCACTTTCCACAGGAATGGAAAATGGATAACAATCAAACT